TTAAGTTGGTTTTGTTTCGATATTCCTGACAGTCATAGACGGCAATAACTCGCACAGCTCTTACCCTAAACAGATCTAAATTGTGTTTCCTACGAAAATACAAAGCAGGTTATGTTTCACCGCTGTCTTTTTCTTTTCTTTTTTCGCTAGATATTATGAGCACTGCTCTGCTTAAGCCTTCGTCATAATCATACTAATAGCAATCATATTTCCACCTTTTTCAAGCTAGGAATATTTAAAAATTAAAAATCAACAGAACAAAACCGAGATGTGATCCCAAACTGGGCACTTGCGATCAATATACTTTCCCCCCAGCTGTTTTTCAGTCATTCATAAGCGTCCATGTCAGAGCAGTTCACTGATGTTTTCGTCTGTCTTTTGGAGATTTAGTCATTGGTGACGATGTTATATCGGGTTAGTGTCTGCTTTATATTTTGTGTGGGATTAATATTTGCTGGTGGGGAAAATCTATTTGTTCACTTCTGCTATTTATACTTTGGTTTGCATTTCAATTTATTTATTTCTTCCACTTAACTGCTAATTAGAATAGAAACTGTATAAAGAGCACACAAACATACTGACATTTATAGGTAACGTTATTTTACAATTTTATGGGTCAGTGATGCTAATATTCAGCACAAATCCATCAATTTCCCCTTTCTGGTTGATCTTTCTATGAATGAATTATGTTGAAGCACAGTCCATGCGTGTTTCCTCGTGGGTTAGTAACGCTCTATTTCATTGCACAACAATTAAACTATCAGGCTTTTTGGCTAAAAAAAGAGAAGTCGCGGTTTAATTTGTTATCATTAGATTTCACCTCTCCTGCTGAGCATGAACCGAGCTGTTGGTCAGCGTATGAGGCGGCTAGGCTAACCAAAATTTAGATTTTTTTCTAATCGGTTGCCTATTATGTAGTAGATATATCCCTGTAATGCATACTGCAGTCCTTTTTCGTCTGGTTTTCTCAGATATCTTAAATCTTAAAATCTTAATTATATCCCTGGGAATATCTTAGATATTGTAATAGACATGCCAGGCACAAAAGTTTGACAGGCGTAGCAACAGTAACTTAGGAGGGCGGGGCTTAGCGAAGGGTCAATTTCACCAGAATATGGAGGAAATACTCTTGCATCAGTACTTTATTTCTTAGTTTATGTAGAATTTGAAATTTCAGTGAATCCATTTTTAATCTGATTACATTTTTAAGGAATGTAGTTTTAACTATAAAAAATAACTAAGAAGATATTAATCAGCTTTGTTTTAGTTGAAATGAATTGTTAATTAATTAATAAGCTTGCATTCCACTGGTTTCATTCCTGGAAATACAAAATCCTATATTCTAAATATGCACTCAATTGTTCATTTAATTGTTGAATGCCGCTTTTAATAAAAGTTGTATAAACTCCTTTAAACCCGTTTAAAAATTACCACTGATGTTTCTTAATCTTTTTTAGATTTTGCAGTGTTTGTGAGAGGTATGTGTCAGCAGCAAACAAACACTGCCCTAAGTGTGACATGTGCCCATCAAAGGTAAAAACTCATGTTTAACTCAAAGTCTTTAAAATATGAGCAGACTCAAAGATGTTTCACTTTTCATCTCACAGGATGGACGAGAATGGAGACACTGTGATGAATGTGGACGGTGTGTGAAGCCCTGTAAGCAATCCTCCATTTGAGTTCTTTGGACTGAAAGTTTCCGAGTGCGTTTATTCTTGCTTCAGCACTTACTTCTAACTGTGTTTCTCTGTCCAGCGTGGCGTCACTGTTCCTCATGTGGTCGCTGTGCTCTTCCTGATCACCCCTGTGGTCAAAGGCAAACCGGCTGTTTTAACTGCGGCAGCCAAAAACACAAACTCAGAGCCTGTCCTAAGAAACGGTGAGTAAAAAATAGGGCTATCATGAATGATAGTCATTAAAACAAACAAACAACTTTCATTATTTAAAATGTACACTAACTAAATTAAATTAAACTTAAACTGAATAAAACAAATCATAGTAATACTTCAGCTAGTTGTCATACAATTCACAAGCTTAATTCAATTGAGCTCTTGTGCATTACTGACTGTACTATATGTGCATGTGTATGCAATAAAAACAGCACGAACATAAATAAATAAATATAAAATATTTAACTTTGCCAATATCATTGCTAATACTAAAATAACACTGGTGTGAGCTCTGGAGAAAATTACTAAAAAAAACTTTATAATGAACATTTTTGTTAAACTATATTAATAAATGTATCATTTATTAAACATTTACTCACAATTTACTCTCCCTTGGGTGGTATTTTTATAAGTTTCTTCATTCTGTTGAACACAAAAGATGATGAGATTTGAAAGAAAGCTGTAAAGATCGAGTTCCATAGTATGGAAGTCAATGGTTACAGGTTTCCAGCTTTCTTTAAAATATCTTCTTTTAAATTCAAATGGTTTGGAACAAATAAAGGCTGACAGAATTTTCAGATTTGGGTGAATCGTCACTTTAAAGAAATCATGATTAGAATTAAAATACCCACTGAATAGGAACGTTCATGTCCATAAAGAGATAGTTCAGCAAAAAATGACAATTATGTCATCATCTGCTTGACTTCTGTTAAATAGACAAGAATACATTCTCAAGAATGTCTGAAATAGGTTCCTTGAATTCCATAGTATTCTTTTTCTACGATGGAAGTCAAAGTCTACCAGATTTCAACATTCTTTAAATGGTCTTCTTCTTGTCTCTAACAAAAAACACAAAGTGTTACCACTTGGGGGTCAGTGCATTTTAATTTTAAGGTGAACGGTCCCTTTAAGAAGTTGGTGGGGGGCACCTGTCAGTCATGCCATCATTTCTCTATCTGTCCATTGCGTATGGAGAAGGCGATGAGATGCTTGATTTGACTATGTTTCATATGGCACTGAAGGCCCAGCGAGATCCCAGGATGGTCTAGAAGTGGGAAACAAACACAGGCCCGAGGGTCAGCGCACCACTTCCTAATGCAGTCAGCCATCCCATGTAAACTCCCTGTGTTTACAAACAATTGGGGAAGTTGGTTAATCATAATAAACATTTGTGTTAAACTATAATAATAATGTTATCATTTATGAATACATATTTACAAAACTTTGATGAAAATGAAATAAAACATTTGTAAAAATCCAATAGTATATATAAAATAACACTGTATTAAACATGTTATTTAAATAAATTGAAATAAAAAGGAACATTTTAATGCACAATTATGACATTTTTCTTCATAATTTCAAGGGAAAATTTTCCCAGAGATGGGTTGCGGCGGGAAGGGCATCCGCTGCGTAAAAGTGTGCTGGATGAGTTGGCGGTTCATTCCGCTGTGGCGATCCCGGATTAATAAAGGGACTAAGCCAAAAAGAAAATAATACTAAATATTTTCAAATATAGAAAAAAAATTCAGTTTCAATAGAAAGTTCACAATTCATAACCTAATCAAACTAATGATACTTTACCATATTTGCTGGATATATTCCTAGAGATGGTTTGCAGAAAAGGCTGAAAAGGCATGCTGGATAAGGCATGGTGGTTCATTCTGCTGTGGTGACCCCGAACTAATAAAGGGAATAAGCCGAAAAGAAAATGAATTAATGATTTTATTTCAGCACATTTGTAAACATAATAGTTTTAATAATTCATTTCTAATAACAGATTTATTTTATCTTTGTCATGATGACAGTAAATAATTGACTAGATATTTTTCAAGACACTGATATACAGCTTGAAGTGACATTTAAAGGCTTAACTAGTTTAATTAGGTTAAATAGGCAGGTTATGGTAATTAGGCAAGTTATTGTATAATGATGGTTTGTTCTGTGGACTATCAAAAATAGCTTAAAGGAGCTAATAATGTTGACCTTAAAATGTTTATCAAAAATAAAAAACTGCTTTTATTCTAGCCAAAATAAAACAAATAAAACTCTCCAAAAGAAAATATTATCAGACATACTGTGAAAATGTCCTTACTCTGTTAAACATCATTTGGGAAATATTTAAAAAAGAAAATAAAAATTGTAAAAGAAGGGGGGTGGGGGGTAAATAATTCTGACTTCTACTGTACACAACCAGCAATTCCTTTTCATTCATACAGTATCCAATTCATAAGATTTTTCTATTGAATAACTTCATTTCTCACAACTTTCTACACTATTTAGAAAGTTTCTAGGCTAGAAATGTAAAAAGAACTGTCATTTAGTTACTGAACCCTCATAAATGTATGCCAGAATAGCTATTAGCTGCACTAATTCTAACAATGCCTCCTAAATATCACTAAACCTCTCCAGACATTGGGAATCATTTGCTGTACTAATTTATACTGTTTCAATAAGTTGTTTGTACATGAACAACAGTGATTTCAGCATTAATATAAACTGGTTCTTCAAGTCTTTTAATAGTTATACCATTCTCTTGTACTCATTTTGCCAACAGAATGCTTGTGTCGGGTGACCGCGGAGCTCCAGGCCTGTCGAAACACAAAGCAGGCAAATCCAGAGCTAAGAACAAGCAGAAAAGAAGAGCTACTTAATCTTACACGCAGTGCATCATGGGAACAGTGGTTTTGTGGCTGCTGAAAATACATCATAAAAGTGTGAACCAGTAAGCTGGTGTTAAACCTGACTGTATAGCAGAAGGCTGTTATGGAATTACCGCCATAGTTGTTTTTTTGCCATCTTGGTTATGCGTTCATCACAAAGATTATTATACAGTAATACCTTCTCAGTACTAATGACAGGCTGTGTGAACAAACCTCGCGAACGGCCTGGTGTAACACTTCAAAGATGCTTTTTTTTCAGAAGCCATCTGTGGATAAATTTGACATTATATTCTTAAAAAATGCAAATAGTATTTTCTAATAAAATTTCACCTGAATATTGCAGAATCGATCCATTGATGTTATCTTTTCATGAAGAACAAATCCATTCTTGTTAGATCATTATGTACACACTGAAAAAAAAAACTCATGGAAAACACCAACCCTCACGTCTTTAAAAACATTAGTTTATTAAAGGTTTTCAGGAAAAGTCCATACTGTGCTTTAACACCCATCAATCACCAGTGATCATATTAAATCTTCAGGATGCACCCAAAGTCAAGTAATGCTCAGAACATAGTGTACATTAAGCTTAGTGTTATTAAAAACAAACTTCAACATCGACTTCAATCAGCTTAGAAATTTGAATGTGTGTTAATGTTTAACAGTAACAGGAATTCAGTTTATTAGCAACAATTATTAAAAACAAAACAATCAGAATCTGTAAAGTGTTTGCTTAAACAACCGCATAAGCCTGCGATACTTCATTAACTCATGGAGCTGCCAAACATAGTCAATACTGTGGTTTATTCACGTCGCTCTGTTTAGATTGTGCAACTGTGTGCGTTTTAAACGGTGACATGATTCATGCCATTCTGCTCCAATAGTAGATCAATTCACAGCTCAGTTAATAGTAGTCTAAAGAATGTTATTCACATTTAAATGGAAGACAGTCTACTTAAAAGGATAGTTCACCCCCAAAAAATGAACATTTAGTCACTATTTACTCTCTCTTAAATGGTATCTTTAGAGATTTCTTCATTCCGTTCAACACAAAAGATTATGAGATTTAAAAGAAAGCTGTAAAGATTGAGTTCCATAGTAGGAAAAATAAATACTATGGAAGTCAATGGTTACAGGTTTCCAGCTTTCTTCAAATTTGTCTTTTAAAATTAAAAAAGGGAGTAAAGGAGTAAATTCTGACAGAATTCTTAGCTTTGGGTGAATCATCACTTTAAAGAAATCATGATTAGCATGAACGTGTATTAAATAGCATTCACAGGTTTAAGTCAGACCCACTTAAAGGGAAAGTTCATGTCTATAAAGGGATAGTTGACCAAAAAAAATGACAATTATGTCATAATATGCTGAACTTCTGTTGAACAAGACAGAAGATATTGTCAAGAATGTCTGAAACTGCTTCCTATGGACTTCCAAAGTCTTCTTGTTCCTACTATAAAATTCAATGGCTACCAGATTACAACATTCTTCAAATAATCTTCTTTTTGTTTCCAACAGAAAACACAAAAGATTTGTTACCACTTGAGGGGTAATACATATGAACTGTCTCTTCAAGAAGTCGGTAGGGGCACCTGTCAGTCATGCCATCATTCCGCTATCCGTCCATGGCGTATGGAGAAGGCGACGAGACGCTTGTACATGGCGCTGAGCATTACAATCGCAGCTAGCACTATGCCACATATGGCACTGAAGGCCCAGCGAGGTCCCAGGATGGTGTAGAAGTGTGAAACAAAGACAGGCCCGAGGGTCCGCGCGCCACTTCCTGATGCAGTCAGCCATCCCATGTAAACTCCCTGTGTTTGCAAACAATTGGGGAAGTTGGTTAATCGTCATGTTGGTTTGGTTTAAGGATTAGTAGAAAGTGTTTTACCTGTGGTTTGGGCCCCAGTATCTTTGAGTATAAAGTGTAGGACATGACGTTGCATGTGGGATAGCCCACTCCGATCAGGATGTCAGAGGTGATGTACTGTGCGAGATGAATTACAGGGGTGAACAAGCACCAGGTCTGTTCGGACGGGCATCCAATGGGCTCCAGGGAACTGTTTGAGGCTGGGGTGGGTGCCAGTTGTATTGGTGGTATAGTGTTATTGTTAATGTCTGTTGATGAGGAGATGATAAATACAAATGTAATACATTTTTTATGCAATACACACTACCCCCCAGAGGTTTGGGGTTTATTATGTTCTGTGTTTTAGAGTAGTAGTGTGACATTATTACAATTTAAAATTGCAATTCAGTTTGAATTAATTATTCACTACCCAATCTTCAGTCACATGATTATTCAGAAATGATCAATGGTAAAGGTGCAGTAGGTGATTGTCTTCAGAAACATTTTTTGATGTGCTGGTTGAAAGTCTCTTCACATTCCAATAGTAATGATTAAAGTAAATGATCTAAATGCATTTATATGTATTTTTATATTCTGTGTAAAGCATGATATAAAAAAATGTTCATCCAAATAAATCCCATAATTCTGATAAGTACCCTAAACTGTCTGTCAACAAATGTAGATTCAAACAACCGCGCACCTCTGTTCACGCAGTTCCTATGTTTGTGTGTTCATGTGCACACGAGAGAGTGACAGCAGTAAAATCAAATGCTCAATCAAAACTTTAAAATCCTGAATCAATATTGGAGTTACTTTTGTACGCTAGAGGAAGGATGACCCCTATGGCTGAAGTTTTCTTTTATACCGATAATGTTATGTTTTAAAAGTAGTTTAATCACGCAAAGCTTCTGCAGATTGTGTTATAAATGGGTTATATGCACAGTAGTGTTGTTCAGCCACCAAAATCTTCCGGCGAAAGATTAATGTAACTATTTTTAGTTTCATAAGGGACCTTTTACAGGTGTGGTTCTCAATGTGGGGGTCGGGAATTGGTGGGGGGGGGGGTGTTATATTTATAGCCACCTATGAGGTTATTGGGGGTCGCAAGTCAATAGCATTGTCATTTTGGGGGTTGCGGGCTGAAAAGTTTGGGAACCCCTGTTTTACAGCACCGATAATGTAGATTTTTATTTAGTTTAACAACAAAACAAATGTAAATAGCGCTATTCCGCCTATCCTGCTATATACTTTAGAACAATGACAACCTGTGAAGTATGCAATTACGGCTTAGTAATAACAGGTTATAAGCAGAAATCCTAAAGGAAATTTCAATACCTTTTGAAGACTTATTAAAGACCACAGAATATTTTAAGACCTCATCACCACAAGTTCTAATCAGTATCAAACCTTTACCTTAGCAAACAGTTGTAGTAAAATAAATCAATGGAGCACAACCATGCAACAGAACTCAGATAAGCTCAGAAGAAACAAAACTTTAGGTGCTTGTTTTCAGCGACAGACTTCATCCACTCTCCAACCAGGAGTACGCAAACTTACATTATTTCCATTTTGTCGTCTGTTTAGCTCTATGGTTTTGTGAAATGTGGAGAGTGTCTCATTGTTGCAGATTACGTGACATCACCCAGATAGAGGAGCTTGGCCGGACACGCCCCGGCGAGAACCAATCACGTAGATTGAACACGCTGTATTTAATATTAGAAAATAAATATACTTGTGGTTTTTTGGAGTAAAACACTTTGGACAACGCTTGAACAAAATTGAAGACCTCGTAAAATGCAATTAAAACTTTTTAATACCTTTTAAGGACCTTAATTATCTCATAAGTGATTGATCAACTTTTACTACTTTTTAAGACCCTGCGGACTTCCTAAATAAGTGTGATTAATGTACGCTGTCGGCCAAGCACTAAGCAAACAGTAGTCACAACCCTACTGGGTAGTCTATTGCTGTCTTTAAGCTGTGCATTCATGATATCAGGAGGCGTGGCTTTGGAAGGCAGGGGAGAGACTAAATGCGTTTCAAAGATTTTTTGCTAACCGGATAGCATTTTGACCGCTAAGCTAGCTGCTATTGCACTGCTGGTTAGACCTAAACTGCATTTTGTTGCCTTGTACTTGTACATGTGTAATGGCAATAAAATTGAATCCAATCTAATTAGATTGTTGTTAGCATGTTTGAACTGTTAACTAGAAACCATGTAACCTGTTTATATGTATTAACCAATAATAAATTGACATGTTATTGACTTGTATTAACATGATGTAAGTTAGCAGATTTAAACTTTTCTTTGTTTTTCAGATTCCTTACCTGTCCACTGTATTTTAGGATATTGATTTCCCCATGGCAACAGCATAAAAAACCCTACAAATATGAGAATCAAGCCTCCAAGCAGCAGTGGCCGATCTCCTACCCTGAAAAACAAACTCTGATTTAATCTGAAATCAGATTACTCAGCCTGTAAGTGCAACAAGAGGAAGTCAAATACTAGCAGTCAAATATATGCTTGATTTAGCAGAAGAAAACGCACAAGGGGGATTTATGACTAGTCACAATGAGATCATATCATTCTGTCCTTCAGTAAAGTACAGTTTACATTATTAGTCAGAAAAGGCTTGATTTTACAACCAATATGAACAAGGTTTAAAAAAGATGACAAAATAAGTAACATTATTTGGTTGTGAAAAAACAGCAGGTGTAATACTGAAAAGTATTTTGGATATTACTGGAATTAAGAAATACTGTACAGCAAAATGGTATAGATCATAAAACAGTATATATGTAATAGCCTAAATTACATCAGTATTAAGCTGTTCAAAATTAAATTGTAAACTTTTTTCTTACCGTGCTGAAACCACTTTTACCACCAGAAAGACAAGGATGGACTCAAAGCCTATGGCAGCCAATATGATGCCATTATACAAAACAGCTTCCTTTCTTGTCCATGCGAACATGTCCATTGACAGAGGAGTAGATATACTGCAGGCAAATGATGCGCATAATTGAAATAAGAGCAAATTAAACGTAAATATGAGTGAAGATTTTAGGATCATCACTTACGTCTCAAACACAGCAAAAATAAAGAGAATGATGAAGAAAAGGACGTTAGATGTGAACACTGCAATATGGTCGATATCACCTTCAACCTCAGGAGGCACATCTACTCGCTCTGAAGGCAGAAAGATGATAGATTACTATAAAATACTTTGCACAATGGCAATGCAAAAGTACACAGTTAAAATGACCACTTTTCTGCAATCTATTTTCATTCATTTTCCTTCAGCTTAGTCTGTTATTTATGCAGTGGAATGAACCGCCAACTATTCAAGTATGATTTCCGCAATGGATGCTCATCCAGCCACAACCCGTTACTGGGAAACAACCACACACTAAGGCCATTTAAGATCATACAGTTCACCTATACTGCTTGTCTTTGGATTGTGAGTAGAAACCAGACTGCCAAGATGTGTGAAGAATAGGGCTGCAAGACATTCGAAAAATCTGATGTTGCAAGATTTTATTTTTCTTTAATAAATATTGCGATACAAATTCAGTTTTACAAAATGGTTTGAATAGCAATGTTTGATGGTTTTCTTGGGAGTATAACAGTATTCAGGTACACAAATTGAATAATCCAATGCAAAAAAGGTTCTTCTTACTTTACTTTGTCTTGTTTCTAGTCCAAGTTTCGAAATATTCTCGTATCAAGTAAAATTATTGTTTTGTTTTCCTTAAAACAAGTAAATAATAGGTAACAAGTGAAATAATCTTGTTTTTGCTTTAAAATGTAGATGTTTGGACTAGAAACAAGACAATAATTAAGAAAAAAATTGAAAAAGTAGGAAAAGTTTTTTTTTTTGCATAAATAATATACATTCCATATAAATACAGTAATTAAATTCTGTAGCTCCTGATCAACTAAGGCTCAACACTGCATATATTGCAATGTGACTATTGTGATATCGATGCTGAAACAATATATTGTTCATGCCTTGTGGAGAACATGCAAACTAGATGCAAACAAAATCTTCTTGCTGTGAGGTGACAGTGCTAACCACTGAGCCACTGTGACACCACAATCTATTTTACAAACAACTATTTTTAATTTCAGTATCTAATCATTTAACAGTTGATCAATCAATGACTCAAGCATACAAATTTAAATCAGTGTTTTTTGGGGGGAAGATGCTCTCTAATGATTCAGAATGATTTGAACAAATGATTCAGAGGCAAACGCATGTTTAATATTTTATTGAAACTGATAACTTAATTTCTTTCAAAATGTCATTTACTCTAATGTGATCACTACTTTCGATATCAGTGTTTATACCTGACCTATAAACTTATCTAGCGTATCTGTGGCAATTTAAATGGGTGTGTATTGGGTGGGTGGCTAAAGAATTCAAAAACATTTATGGTTCTTGCCTTCTGGAGTGTAGTTAATTGGACGGATCCTGTTCCCATGGTCATCCACAGAGTGCTCCCTAAATCAATAAAAGCTTGTTAAATTCTGTAGATTGCTTTATTTAAATCAAGTACATAGTGTGCAAAACTGTGTTTTAAAATAAATAATTAAGAAAAATAAACAATAATAAATTAAAAATAATAAAGTCTTAAAATCAAATAGTGTTTTAATATTTAAAATCTGTAACACGTGACATATCACAAATATTTTGATGTCTTTGACAATTCAAACATGAGCCGAAAACAGAGACAATCGACTCCACAACCCAGCAGGCGGGAATGCGGAAAAAACAGCTCCCTTCCTTTCCTCCATTTACATTTGAAGCCCCTGCAACCCCTTTGTTCAACCACCCCCTCTACATACTGTACTCAAACAAAATGGTCATTTCAAAGTCTGAATGTTCTAAATCTACCCAAGTGACTTTATCTATCATGTTTGATATTATTTGAAATGTCTCAGTGCAACTGGTAGAATGGTCTCATTCCCTCAGAAATAGGCATAATCAAAACAATAAATATATAACTTCAGGTATCTTTTGAACCACTGTGATGAGTGTGCCTTTGCTATAGGCAGAAACTCTTCCACTAAATGCAAATGCCTTTTGTTATTCACACACCCCTTTCCTTGAGGGGATTCTTGGATTTTTCTACAAAAGGGAAAGTTTCTAAAATGTTTGGGGCGATTCTATTATCCAGATCAGCCCATATCGTGGAACTTCATGTTCCACGCTATGTATATTTTGAAGTCAGGTATGCATCTTTTAATGTTGAATTTATTTTTGAGAATTTGATTGTCTTGTATTGATTGTTTATGAATTGACTGAATGAATTGGCATAATACACATTTACCTGGCTATTAAATTGTTATGTTTTGAATAATTCAAACGGAGTTCGTGTTATTAACTCTAGTGGATTACAATAAGTAAATAGCAGCACAAGCCCCTGTACAGGTTAGTAACGGACTAAAACACAGTAGACGGAGCAGCGTGGCAAGCTATACAATGTTCTTAGAGCTCCGACTAACACATTGGCATTAATTCATGTATACTTAGACTATAAAAGGTTATCTAAGGAGATAGACCTTCATCTTTTAAACTTATAATACTATTTGGATAGTATAGTGATTAATCAAAGTTACTAATAGTTTAGGTACGACTGGTCTGCTTAATTCTATAGTAATGATCAATATATGACTAAATAGCTCAGTTTGATTTAGGATATAGCAGCTCTATGGAGACAGCATAAAAATGATCCTAATCTGAGTAAGTAGGGTTCTGCCTTTTTAGGATAGCGTCAATCGGCACTGTGTAGTGACCAAGACTGACACGCTCTTGCTTAAGAGATTGTATACTCAGCCGGTACAAGACTCAGGATGTTAGAGGAATCCGAATGAACGAGAATTACATACAATAAGGAATCTAAAAGAATATTCAATCATAATCTAAAGTAATGTTAAAGAAAACAAAATAACTTTATCAATGTTATATAAATGGAGTCAGATAAAACTCCATTTATATATATAGATATACTATATAAATATAGATATAAATATATTTATATATATAAATATAGGATAAATATATTGATATTCTAAACCACCTCATACTAAAATTGTAGTCAGATATGAGGTAAGTTCAAAGTAAATCAACATTGTGCACTGGAAAGACCGAACAAGCAGTGAACCTTCGTCCACCAGTAGACACCGTCATTGGACTAGCTGGCTGGACCTTACAATGCTATCATGCAGTATTACAACAGTACAGGTGTCAAATGCTGTAAAAGACTTGGGTTGATTATTACCTCAAGACTAAAATAACCAGCAGAATGTTAATGACCCCAAAGCAGGCCGCCAACAGCGCTGGAGCTGTGTACATGTTAACCTGAAGCTTGATGACATCCACACTCACGCCGGTTTCTCCAATGAATGACAAAACAGCCTGCAGAGCTGGAGAAAACAAATTATGTTAATTCCCTTCATGTAAGGGGCTATATGTAAAAATGTGTATGTAGTTAAAACAGAGAGCCTCTCTTTCCTTTTTATGATAATTGAAACCAATGCTTATAGCAGTCTTACTAACTTAAAACACCCAATTCAGATCATCAGCTCATTAACAGAGAGATCTATGATCCTTGTGTCAAATAGTAGAGACATACAAAATGTGCAGGGCGGGGGGCCTGAGGACTGAAATTAAGAACCACTGCCTTAAAGAATGTTGAAGATAATCCAGAAAGAGCTATTCTGTACTTTGCTGTCACTGTCAAACAAAGAGAAGGATTCTAACATGCAAAACAAACAAAAGGAGCTTCAGGGGTAAATAATGTGTCTGTACTTTTTGGATATGGATTCTGTAAATTATGCAAACAAATCATCAGTCTGAGGCACTCGAAAAAACATTGAAAAAAAAAGTTCAAGTCTATGTGAACTTGAAGTTGCTGAGATTTTTATTTTAGTATGTTGATGTACTGTATTTCCAACTGAAACTAAATCTTGTGTAGGGGGTGGTGCTTTCTTTGCAGAGCATTCCCTCACATAGATATTTACATATTCATATTTATATTGAAGGATTCGGATTTCTGCCTTCCAATCCATCTCAGCCAGTTTCTCATTATTTTTTTATTAAAGATGATTATTGAATAATGAATAAGTTAACACACAATGCTTTATGTAAGAATGTTCAGTGCATTTGCCTGTCTCTTTGTGACTATTTTCAGGAGCCACCAAACTAGGTCAGAGGTCACGGAGACCTCAAGTGAAACGGAAGGGCTGAGGACTGAAAACAACTGTTTCTATTGTTATTTCTATGTGATAATACTATCTAAAATGTCTATAGTGATTTTGTTTGGCTGAGAGTACACACAGCCTTGGATAAATAAAAAACTGTCTGGAGCTGTAAACAGTCTGATGGATATCTGATGTTTATTCACCTTATTCTCAGCTGACGAGCAGGCGCTGCCATTTGAATCTTTTTGTCTCGCGACTTCCGGTCACATTCACTTCCATTCATTTTTTGACGTTAACAACTGCTCGTTACGCTGCTTGATGTTGCAATTTAATATTTTCTTATTATATTATGCTACTTGGTCTGTGTAGTCATGCAAACATTTGTTTGTTGTTGAAGTAGTTTGGCCAATTTCTGTCGTTTATTATTCCTAGTCATTTCTACCATAGGCGACTGAATCAGAAGTTCTAAGACAATCGCGAAAACAGGCGCACTTCCGCATTTTAGAATAAGGTCAATATGCTTAAGATATTGTTCAGAATTGTACGCATGCACCTACGTGAAAACTTTCCTAGTCTATCTGTGTTTTACCCAATCAGGTAAGAACACCTACATGTAGGTAATGACGTTATGTGAGAGTATAATTGTTATTGATTTGTGGTTGTAAGCAGAGCAGCCTAGGAACTCATTGCGAGTGTTGAAGCTGGCTTCTGCGGATGAAACTGCAAACTATCTTCAGTAAACTTAATTTATTTATTTGAATCTCTGACTCCGGCTCTTCTTCATCTGACAGAATGGTCATTTTTTTGGGTTAAAACTGTAAATAATCCTAAAACAATATTTACACATATCTATGATTCCCTCATAGCAAACTAGCGGCAAAAGGGGTATGGTTGAGAACATTGAGATACAGTTGCTATGGAAGCCCTTAAGTTGAATAATAAACATTTAAAATTCTGATTTCAGATGAACTTTTAAAAGCCTTTATTCACATAGATACAATATTAGAAATAGTACACAAGCAATTACTCGTTGCAATAACTCGCCTTCATTAGAGTAACAAATGATATTTTTGCAATATACTGCAAGTAACATGCTTTAAATACTTTACACAGACCTGGGCCAAGTATAAAGCCGAGAGCTTGACAGGCACTCATGTTTGCCATTGCACTGGTTCTTTCCTTCAGGGAAGTGGCACCAGCCACATAGGACCTCACCACTGCTACATTACCTGGAGGACAGAAAGACACAGCAAAGAAATCAAATGCTTTGACTTTGTTTGATGAGTGTTTGTTCTGCATCTGCAAGTGAGGCATAGTTGTACAAATAAACATTTTATTGAATATTATTTTGCTATTCAATCATAATCTTATCAAAATCTATAATTGTATAAACATTTATTTTGCAAGGAATCTGTACGATTTAAAAAAAACTGCATTTATCAAAAAATTACATTTATTTTAGTGGTGACAAGGCTGAATGTTGTTGAATCTTGCTGATTTGGTGCTCGAAAAACATTTGACCATTTTATATCATCAATTTGCATAATTATTGTACCATTCACTGTTTATATGAAGTCCTGATAAACATTTTTCAGCATTGTGATGTGAAAAGAACGTTTTAAAAGACAGCATTTATGTGAAATACATCACAAATATATTTACTGTTACCTTTGATCAATTTAATATATTCTACATGCATGTATTAAATTCTTTAAAAAAAAAAGTCTTTTTACCTGCTCCGATACCCACAAATGTGCGAGCCAAGAGCATGTGAATCTGGTTGTGTGAGGGAGGTAGGTAGACATAGGAGTAGTAAATGTTGGCTGAGACATTAATGAATATAGAGCAGACTAGAGGCTCCCGTCGAGGCCTGTGATTGGACCACAATCCAAAGAAGGGTGAGGCCACCATCTGACCCAAACTGTATGCAGCAACCACCCATCCCAAAAAACTGGCATCTGCACTTTCATCGATCTAAAAAGACATAGCATGATTAATGAACTTATAATACAAAAATCAATATACAGACCAACAGGGACTTGGCAGTTCAAATAAACATTTGTGAATATAAATAATTAATCAGTTTTTAACATTTTGTAACTTTTTCAACTTTTTAAACATCAACGTTTAAATTAAAATGTGATTTTAAAAGTGAATTAAAAATGGCACTGTTCTTAAAAAGTTAAAACAAAACTGCTGTACTTAAATGTAAAGTATTATCATAAGTAATAATACCAGATGGGTCCCAATTGGGACAGCCCAGGTGGGTTCTTCCAAGTATTGAGTCCCATATGGGCATTCAATATATATATATATATATATATATATATATATATATATATATATATGCGTGTGTGTGTGTGTGTGTGTGTGTGTGTGCGTGCGTGCGTGTGTGTGTGTGTGTTTGCTTTCAAAACTAGTGCATTAACGCAAGTGATTAATTTGAAATTTAACGCAATAACGCCGCTGCAATTTTTTTTCTCCTGTTGTGGTCAACGTGTGTTCAACATGCAAAGAAATATGGATAAGACCAAGGAGACATGTTTATCATTAACAAGCTATCCAGCATTTCCTCCAGAATTTTATCTGATTTCATCTTTTAATCTTTCGACTTAATTCTTCATGGCATAAATTCAACAAGTTACTGGAAATATTCCCCAGATATTTTGGTCCACATTGGCCTGTTATACTGCTGGAAGTATCAGAAGATGGGTGCACTGTGGTCACTGTGGCAATCCCAGGTGGGTCCCACGTGGGCCATCCCTGGTGGGTCCCACATGGGCCATCCTATTTTGGTGGATTCAGGGCACGAACCCCAGTAAATGCTTTGAGGTACAATTTACTTTATATGCAAGTGTATTTATTAAAAGTGGTAATCCCGGAATAAAGATGTTATTCTCTATTTGCAACAGATAAAAGCAATGTAGTTGAATCAAAAAGCAAACTGAGCATGTGCGCAGAAAAAATATATACCTATTACATTTTAATATATCTATTATATTATAATATTTAATATTGTCAGCCACTTTAAACATAATAAATGGTTTGAACAATAACACATGGGTAAAACAAAAAGATAAATAAAACGTCAAAGTTTAAATAAAAATGTGATTTTAAAAGATAATTAATAAATGGCACTGCTCTTAAAAAGTTAAAATAAACCTGCTGTACTTAAATGTAAAATATTATCATAAAGTAGCCTAGTCATTAAAACCTGCAAATGTTTCTTGGACCTCATAAATATAGGTTAATGTATGTCATAATATTCATATATAATTCTGTTAAATAAATTTTAAAATATGTTGCATGTGTATATGTCTTATTTGTATATCTTTGAAATCTAAATATTAGCTTGTATTTTAAATATATGACATGGATTTACATATTTAAATTAGAAATTTGATCTGCTTACTGCTTGTTAGAGTAGGCTATGTGTGTCAGAGAAGCAAGTGATTAAACTATACCTGTCTACATGGATAAAAAATACGAGGTACGCCCCCAACAACCGTGGGGCGTATGGGGAGGTAAATAATCTCAAATGATAGAATACATAATAAACATTAGAAAAATGAAAATAAAATAAAAAGTTAAGCCTATTAAATTCAATTTCCTGATCACATCGTTGTTATCGTACGCATCAAAGGGTTAAACGCGTGTTCATTTTTTTACTTGAATTATACAGCGATTGCTCCGTGTACCACTAGAAGGAAGCTTGCGTCCTACTTGTGGTACATGTACCAAAGTTTGAGAACCACAGGCCTAAGGGACAGAAATTCTAAACAATTGTTGAAAAAAAGAATAATAATAACTTAAAACAACACTATAACGTAACGTAATAATGTAAAATAACATAATAAGGTAAAAAAAAGCACTCACTTATTATCCTTATTGTACAAATAATTATACATTTAATCTTTGTTAAGGTGTTTTTTATTGCTTGACATCCTGCTATGTGACTATTGCAGAATTGCACATTGTGCACATTCATCAATGCTGAAACGATATATAGTGCAGCCCTTATTGATGCGGATTGACACTAATATGCTTGTTAAGTTTGACGTCACGCGAAGCGGCTTCCTGGGTCCAAGTGCTATTTCAAACTGTATAGGACACTCATCAAATGGTAATAACAAACATTTACAAAGTGATGTAATACTTTCGAAAATCACAATTACAATATATTTGTCCATGCCTAATATCAGATGGCAAGAAAGCTAATCATTTTTTATAAGTTGTTACAATTTTGTATTTGTGATGCAGCAAGTCCAGAGACTGATGTGTAGACTATATAAAATTCACTTCTATAAAATTCACTTTAATGTGTGAAACGACTAAAAAGTGGTCATAAACAAATATTTTCTCAATTCAAATGAGTAGCGACTTGGACTCAAAAACCATCCACTTCCATGCGTCACTGATATGTCACGACTTAACAAGCAGATAAAGCTTTGCAGGACAATGGTCCTCCAGTAGCGAAGGTGCCCATCGCTGCTCATCATCTCACACTTCTGCAAAGTCTGCACAGGAGATTTATTTAGGGAACAAATCTTCAAATTCAAACCTCAACAGATGGTTAGACTGAAATTCACTGAATTTAAAACTGAGAAGTCGAGTTTCCGTTGAGCAGCTCATCATTCTAAGAAACGTTTCTTTGAAATGAAATGCATATACTGTATCTACTTCCTTTTCTCACTTCGATTTATTCAAGACAAACATAGCACAGGTAATGCTTTGCATTAAAACTAAATTCCAAGAATTCTAATAACACTTGACTCAAATACCATAACAATATTGTTATTAAATAAATGGTAAGTTACTTACTGATATTTTCACATCTTTCAAATATTATGTCTGTCCTATTTTAAGCATAAAGTTTTTAAATAAAATAAAATGCATTAAAATGAGATGATTTATTATTGTGATAAATATGAAGCACAAGTCAGAATGACAGTGGAACATTATTTCAATCATGTTTTGTGCAAGGGAGTTCTGTGGGGCTAATATTGGTTGAGGTAGAATATAAAAAGTAATTTTTTTAATACAAATTAATAAACTAAACAAACAACACAAATTCCTGTAAATCAAACAAAAGAATTCTGCTAGTAAACACCACAATTGTGGGTTTGATTTATAATGCATGAGTTTATAAAACATTTAACTTCCTAAGTACATTTAAATATTGTATATGCACAGCTAGTGTTTATTCCCATACCGATAAACATCTGGTGAATGGTTATTGTGAGTTTTTCAATTTTATATGGTTCCTTTTACAGCATTGATGTTGTAATTAAAATATAATCAGTTAGAAAGACTTCAGCATTCATTTAGTAGTTCAAGCGTAAAACGAGATGAAAAGCCATTTACACGCACGCGCCCATCAGGATCAGCTGGCTTCCGCAGAAACTCCACTGAAAATACTCGGGTAAAATAAATGTTCATATTTTAAAGACATGGCATGTAAATTTTTTATTTACTGCAGTATTTCTTGTACTGAGACCCACTTTATATCGTTTATCAATCAGGCAGTGGAGATTGGTGAATTTCTTTTTTAAAACAGACCTTTAAATGCGCAGATTTTGTAACAGCATACAGCTCACCAGAAGCACTTGACTCATGTTACAGAAAATTAAAAGTCCTTCTGCATACTCCTCATATTGAATATGTAAATGCAAATAACTTACTTTCTTCAGATAGGGCCAAATTGAAGTGATGACAATCGTAAAACCTAAAAAATAAAAATGCTATTACTAATACATACATTGTATGCCCTTTTACTTTGCACTAAACAGCAATGCAATTAACCTGCAAATAATGCAAATAAAGATTAATCTGCTACCTAGGAAAACGGCTATGCATACAGCATGCTTCTAATTACACCTATATTGCTTTTATGAGGTTTGAAGGCATAAAATGTGGAATTGCACAGTTAAACACGTCCTGACACTGCAAAATGATTTGGCAAGTTACAGCAGGTTTTCCACTCTAAACTGAATGGCTATTTTGAAGTTCATTGAACCAGACTGCAAAATGCATCTTCACAAAAGCTGCAAGGCAAATGTTAACTGATCTGACAAGTAATGTTGATGTGCAAACAAGTTTTTCTCTTACCAACACTGCTAAGGAACATGGTAAAGTACATGACCCTGATGGACCTCCATCTGCTTCTGTCAGTATCTCCATCACTTAAAATAAAGAAGGAAAAGTTTTACATTTAAGTCTACATAATTTTAATTATTCCGTGCATTTAATTGATAGTTAACTCATGCATTTACTAAAATTTAAGTTGTTATAAACCTTTATGAGTTTCTTTCTTATGCTGACCAGTAGAGAATACATTGTGAAGAAAGCAGAATACATGTAACCACTGACTTCCAAAGAAGAACGAATAATGTGGAAGTCAGCTTTCTTCAGAGTATCTTCCTTTGCATTCAACAGAAGAAAGAAATTCAGACAGATTTTACACACGTGAAAAGTAAATGACAACGGCTCCTTATATATGCAAGCTATTATATTGAGGTAAAGTTGGTATATTCGCACATTCTGACTTTCTCCTTAATAATATCATTTCAGAAAAGTATTCTTTGCAAATCCTAAATAGTGAAATTGTATCAGCATCCAATGACTATCAAATTACAACATTGTTCATGGTCAATTAAATAGTGCTAATGTTGTTTTGAAGTCATACTTGCATGTGATTTCAGAACCAATATTCAACGTACCATGGTAAACAATATAGAAAGCATGTCACTAGTTGTCACTGGATGAATGTGCGAATGTAAAACCAACTTTACCTCAATTAAACCTTTATGAGTTTCTTTCTTATGCTGAACAGTGGAGAAGATATTGTGATAAAAGCTGAAAACCTGTAACCGATGACTTCCAAAGAAGTAAGAATGAACAATATGGACGTCAAAGGTTTTTAGCTTTCTTCAGAATATCTTACTTTGCTTTCAAAAAAAGAAAGAAACTCAAACCGATTTTACACAAGTGAAGGATGAGTGAATGACGACAGAATTTTCATTTTTTGCTGAACGGTCCCTTTAAATCTGAATTGCGACAAACGCTCCTTATAAAATAAATATATTACATTGCGGTAAAGTTGGTTTTATATTCGCACATTCTGACTTTATCCTTAGTAATATCATTTCAGAAAAGTATTCTTTGCCAATCCTAAATGGTGAAATTGTATTAGCAGCCACTGACTATTAATCTACAACATTGTTCATGGTCAAATAGTGCAAATGTTGTTATGAAGCCATGCTTGTATGTTATTTCCGACCCATTATTCAAAGTACCATGGTAAACAATATAGAAAGCATGTCACAAGTTGTCACTGGATGAATGTGCGATATAAAACCAACTTTACCCCAATAGATATTATTCATATCTCTCCTCGTTAAGCCTAAGTTAATCTATTTTAGACGTATCATGTTATGAGCATTAGTGACAAAAGTGCCCTTGTGACGTGGAACACTGGCAACATTGTTAAGTTTGAATTCTCTAACGAAGCCAAATACTTTCATTTCATACCTAAATTCAGAACATTTATAACAGTCCTGATATACGTTATTATATCATTCACGTTACAAATTATACAATTATCACAAGTTAACGTTACCTTATAATCTCGCCTCTGAGAAGCGGAGTGTTTTCACCGGACTCCTCAAGTGGCATTATTATTAGTGACTAAGCAGCTTCTGGAAATGAAACGTCGAGCTCATTGAAGCGCAGTTCTTGTTGTTTATAATTACTTCAACATGACTGAAAACTGTCTGGAGCTGCACAGTACGTATGTCGAAAACTCCTGCAGATCGATGTATAATATTCCCATTGTAGCGTTTTGGAGCAGAGCAGTGTTGGAGTAATTTAGCGTTATTCCGAACGGCGCCGTCTAAAGTCCATTGGTGTTGTTGATTCAGCGTAAACTTGAAACACACGTGAACAGCGAGAAACCATAGAGAAACAGAAAAACAACCGCTGAGGCTTCAAAATAAAAGCCCTTCAGCATCGTCAAAAGAGTAGTATGTTTAATGATATTCAGATGCGTATTACACCAATAAGCAAGGTAAGCGGCTGCTTAGGACCCCCAAATAAATACATAGAATTAAAAATTATACAAAGAAATTACATATAACATAATTTTCTATTATATTTTTTATGACGAGGGTCTAAAAAAGTAAAAGTTTAATGTTTATTACATCTGCGCGGATGTGTCCCCACCCTGAATCAAGTCTAGCAGTCAAATTAGGTAAAGATTTATTTTTAAAAACAAAATGGTTAATATATCATTTTTAGTTGTGAATTCATTTTAAGAAAACAAATAATTTAAAAAGATTTACAAGATGCTTTACATGTTGTTATTATTGTTTTGCACTAAGACAATGTGTAGAAAAGGTGACTAAGTGATATAAGACAAAAAACAGCTAAATAAATCAATTAAAATAAAGTACAAAAGGTGCATTTTAGAATTTCATGGCCTGGAACTACTTGGGGACCACGAATCACTAAATCTGCCCCGTTAATATTTGTAATGAACTTATCGGTTTTAACAAAAGCGAAATTATTGTTGTGCAATACAGCTTTTTAAAATGCACTAACATGCATTTTAATTATTTATTCATGCATTTATTTTCTTTTCGGCTCAGTCCCTTTATTAATCCGGGGTCTCCAGAGCGCAATGAACCGGCAACTTATTCAGCACGTTTTACGCAGCGTATGCCCTTCCAGCTGCAACCCATCTTTGGGAAACATCCACACACACACTCATATACTATGGACAATTTAGCCTACCCAATTCAGTTGTACCGCATGTCTTTGGACTGTGGGGAACACCGGAACACCCGGAGGAAACCCACACGATCGCAGGGAGAACATGCAAACTCCACACAGAAACACCGAGGCTCGAACCAGTGACCCAGCGACCTTCTTGCTGTGAGGCGACAGCACTACCTACTGCGCAGCAAACATGTTTCAATATGAATTCATAAACCACTCCCAGGTATTTAAAGCACTGTTCTGTCTCATAACTGTACAAAGATAACATAACTAATATCTTGTTTTATCAACACACCTGTACAAACTGTAAGCTGAGCAACTAGCAGAAAATGATACAATAAACTGGTTGTTAATATAAAGGCATGTACAACATGAAAAAATACTATAAAATAGTACTAAAAATACTGTGTATTACATTTAGTGTTGTGTGTAATCAGTTACAAAGAAACTAGTTACTGTAATTAAATTACTTATCTGCTTAAAAAGGTCAAATAAGAGATTTATTTTAATATTTAGGTACTTGAATTAAATGTAAATTTAATGACCCCCTTGCTTTAAACATTGTACATAACAATGCTAAATGAATCAGTACAGGGAAGTAGAGTAATTGTATTTATTTTAAAACTATTTGCTATACAAATATATTTTGCAGAATAATATAAATATATTTTTTACTAAAGATTACATTTTTCAAGACAATTGCATTTGCTTAAGAAAATATACATTTAATGTGAAATGAATGGTAATATGGTGTGTATGAAATATGGTATCATTACCTTTAAATGTTTTGTTGATTCATATATTGTTAAACAAGTATAACTTTTTAAACTAAAGCTAAAAGCATTATTTGACTCAAAGTTTAATTTATTATTTTATTAACTATTGTGAACTTATTTTAACTATTTACTATTTTTACTGCAATAATTTACTCTGATGTAGTTTGTTTATATAAATACCGTTGTTGTATTAAGACTGCAACTATAGAAATACCACAACAGATTAATTTAAGTAAATTACTGATATGATTCAAAAACACTATAGTATTTACTATAAATCATTATAGTGTTTTTTTTTTCCAGCCAAGTGGCACTAAAACAACAAATTCAAACCTAAAAACTGATCTGATAAAACTTGTCAAACATTCCAGTTATGACTATAAGACTTGTCATTTTCCAGGGAATATCAAGATTCAAGAACCAGTTCCTCCACCTTCTGGTGGTAAATTGTTTGACAACAACCAATGCAATCAAAACAAATCATTTACAACCCAAACTCCAGAAGAGTCAGGGCGTTTTTGTAAAATACAATAAAATCAATAATATGCATTTTGCAGATTTTCTTTAACTTTTATCTCATTGGTCCTCAAATTAATTATATTCTGAAAATATAAACACATTTTGATTTATATGGCTGCAACACACTCCAAAAGTTGGGACAGAGGTTTATTAAAAGTGAAAAAGTCATCATTCATTCATTTATTTTTCGGCTTAGTCCCTTTATTCATCAGGGGTTGCCACAGCGAAATGAACCAGCAACTCATCCAGAATATGTTTTACACAGTGGATTCCCTTTCAGCTGCAAGCCAACACTGGGAAACACCCATACAGTCTTGCATTGAGACTCAAACAGTACAGCCAATTTAGCTTCTTTAATTTACCTATAGTGCATGTCTTCGGACTGTGGGGGAAACCGGAGCACTCAAACCAGCGACCTTCTTGCTGTCAGGCGATCGTGCTATCTACTGCGCCACTGTGACGCCGTCATCCAATATCCAAATGAAAATGTTTTGAAGCACTCCATAATAAGCAGGTAAATTATTGATACACGAGGGCTTCAATGTTGGGTATAAAATGAGCATCTCAGTATTTGCAAGTAAAGCAGGATCATGGCTCATTATTTTGTGGTAAAAGTGTGTGTCAAACAAACAAAAACAAAAAAAACACACATTTTTCAATGTCAAATCACAACCAATTAAAATATTTTACCAGCTACCATATTTAATATTGTGAAAACATTAAGGAAAACCAGAGAAATCGCAATCTTTATAGAGCAAGGCAGGAACCCCCAGTTGAATGTGCTCCAGCTTTGAGCCTCAGATAGCACTGCATGAAGAACGTTCGAGGTTACTAAAGTAACCCTACGTTCCCCGAGGAGGGGAACGGAAGCACTATAAGTGGATTTGATGTTCTAAATCCACGTATGGGAGATTCGGTTCAGAAGCTACCCGTCTGAAAGAGTATTGATCGGGCCAATTAAGAATGAATTGGCAGCGCAAGCCTGCGCAGGTGTGCAGTATATGCAATCAACTGAGTATATAAGCACACCTGGCGCCAGCAGACGCTATCCTTTTTAAGCTGAAGAGACTTTTAACAGCTAAGGGACAGTCATTATGGCGACGGAGTATAGTGCTTCCGTTCCTCTCCTCGAGGAACGAAGGGTTACTTTAGTAACCTCGAACGTTCCCCTTTGGGGGGAACTCCAGCACTATAAGTGGATTTGATGTTCTAAATCCACGTATGGGAGCCCATTGAAAGCGCCATAATGACTGCACTTTACCAACACCCACCATGAGAGAGCGGTCAGGCAAGCGTGACGCACCCAGATCATGAGAGGCGCGGTCCTCCAACGTGCCCTTGGCCCTAACTTATCCCACTTCAAAAGAAGTTTTACGGAATAGGTATATTTTTTTGGGAGTCGCTAGCGTCTAGATAATTCTAGGAATATACGACAGTACGTTGGGAAGCGTGCCATCCCAGTAGGGAGGACGCTGCGGAGACCATCCGCACCCAATAGGGGAAACAAATGGAATTACATATGGACTAACCCTGAGAAGGGGGAGTGCGCATAAGAAGGTGGTTAGCAGATAGGGAAAGCACGGGTCCACCCAGGGGGGGAACTTAACCGTGGCGGAAAAGCATATGGGGATCACCAGCGGGGATCGGCCATAGCAGGCACCTATACCCAAAACGCGGGCTGACCAGCGGGCAGACCTACAACGTAATGGGCCAGCAAGTGACTCTTCGCTGAGTCAGTGCTGGGGGCCTCGGAGGAATTTGCAGGGCTCACCGAATGGGGAACTTTACTGACAGACAGGAGGGTGCACATCTCTCCGTGTTAGGGAAAAAAGGCACCGCAAGCGTGTACACACCTACCGAGTTGTTTCCTCAATCACCAAAGGTACCTAACACCCTTGAGGAAACCGGTTCCACTCGCAGATTATAAAATCTTGCAAATGTGTTGGGTGTCGCCCAGCCTGCAGCTCTACAAATGTCAGTTAAGGAAGCGCCGCGCGCACACGCCCAAGAGGATGCGACGCTCCGAGTGGAGTGCGCACGCACTTCCGGGGGGCGCGGCTGACCTCTGCTTAAATAAGCACATGAAAAGGCCTCCACTATCCAGTGGGATAAACGTTGTTTAGACATGGCACTTCCCTGCTACCGTCCGCCATAACAGACAAATAGCTGCTCAGAAGATCTAAAGTTCTGAGTACGGTCCACATAAATGCTCAGAGCGCGAACTGGACAAAGTAAGGACAGGGCTGGGTCTGCCTCCTCCGGGGGCAGCGCTTGCAGGGTTACTACCTGATCTCTAAAGGGAGTGGTAGGAACTTTGGGCACATAACCCGGGCGGGGTCTCAGGATAACGTGAGAAAATTCCGGCCCGAATTCCAGGCACGAGTCACTGACCGAAAATGCCTCCAGGTCCCCGACCCTCTTAATGGAGGCCAACGCGACCAGCAGAGCTGTCTTCAGGGACAGAAATCTTAAAGATACTGTATCGAGTGGCTTGAAGGGATCAAATCGCAGGCTCGTGAGAACGAGGGCGAGATCCCAAGAGGGCGTGAGAGGGGGGCGAGTTGGATTAATTCGCCTAGCGCCTCTGAGGAACCGGATGATGAGGTTATGCTTTCCCACGGTGCCACCAGCCACCGCGTCATGGTGAGCAGAGATGGCGGCAACGTAAACCTTGAGAGTGGAGGGCGACAGCCTACTGTCCAGCTTCTCTTGAAGGAAAGAGAGCACAACACTGATCTGGCAAGATCGGGGGTCTTCTCTGCGAGAGACACACCACTCA